CAAAGATGTTGTGTCCGCCGAGAACTAAAAAATAAATATTAAAAATTCTCTCTCTCTCTCTCTCTCTCTCTCTCTCTCTCTCTCTCCCCTCTCTCTCAAAAAAAAAAAAAAAAAAAATCAAACCTTTGCCTGAAATACAGTCTCCTCCATATCTGTGTTCATCCACCTGCCTTCATTTTAAAGAACTTGAAGTGCCCTGAATTCATTTTCCATTCAACAAATATTAGTCCTACTATGTACCTACCTGTGTGCTGGAAGGGAATATGATGGGCCCTGCTTTCATTGACCTTCTGATTTAATGAGGGAGACAGACACTGGCAATTATAATGCAGCATGATCCATGTGATAGAGACAAATTTGGGAGTCAAAGCCAAGGATGATGCCATTGAAAACTACAGAATGATGAGCAAGAGTTCCCCAAGTGAAGGAGAGAGTAGGGAGGGAGAAGAGCGGCAAGGAGTGGGCAGGGGCTTGGAAGGCAGGGAAAGCCTGTACTTTGGAGGAACTCAAAGTCATTTCCAGTGATTAGAGCAGAGAATGAAGGGCTCTGAGGCTGGAGGGGGAGCGGGGATGGCCAAGCAGGGCCTGGAGAACCACACAGGAGTCCAGGCTTCAGCCCAAGGAAAATGAGGACAATGAAAACAGGGGAACTGTGGATCCAATTTTTGTTTTGCATCCAGAGATCACTCTGGCTGTAGAGTGGGCTGGAGTTGGCAGGGAAAATAAGGGCAAGACTGGATGCAAATGACTACTTAGGACCTTAGCGGGAGAGAAAGAATTTGACCTAAACTAGTATAGATATGGAAATGGTAGTGGATGATTTCAAGAGATATGACTGCAGTAGGGAGTGAGCCAGGGGCCATGGTGCATGCTCGTAATCCCAGATACTAAGGAGGCTGAGTCAGGAGGTGTGCCAGTTGGCAATTTAGGAAGGCCATGTCTCAAAATATAATGAAAAGAACTGGAGAGGTAGCCCAGTGATAGAGTGTTTACCTAGCATGTAGGAGACCCTGGTAAGATCAGAGGAAGAGGGGGCTGGGGATGTGGCTCAAGCGGTAGCGTAGCGTGCTCGCCTGGCATGCGTGCGGCCCGGGTTCAATCCTCAGCACCACATACCAACAAAGATGTTGTGTCCGCTGAGAACTAAAAATAAATATTAAAAAAAATCTCTCTCTCTCCTCTCTCACTCTCTCTTAAAAAAAAAAAAAAAAAAAAAGATCAGAGGTAGAGGTAAGACTAGGGCCCCTGGCAACTTGCTGGGCAACACCTCACAAACACCAACTACAGGTTTTCGCTGAGAAACTTGCAGAAGGGTTATTGTTTAAATCACGGCATACGTGATCTGGAGTCCACAGGGAATTGGGATATGCACAACCTGGATTCCAGGGCATCTCCAAAGAATGAAAAAAAAAACTGATCAATATTTTGATTGGACTGAAGGCTGCATAAATACCTCATGGACACTGAATGCCTTCCATAGGAAGCCAGGGGATGACTTCCACTGGCACTTTTCTCTGGTACCCTCTCAGCCATGGGAGTTTTACTTTGCTTTAATAATTTTTTTTTTTTTTTTTTTTGCCATGCTGGGGATCAATCCCAGGACCTCACACATGCCAGGCAAGCTTTAATAAATTCTTAAACTTGCATTCATCAAATTCTTTGAATTCATGAGACTTCATGAGACAAAGAACCCGCCAACTCCATGCTCTGTGTTATTGGGTTCAATCCCCACTACTGAAAAAGGAAGGAAGGCTGGAAGGAAGGAAGGAAAGATTGGAGGTGATGAAATGAGAAAGAAAAAGCAGAGACAGAACTCAAGAGCTACACATTTAAAAGAGCCGCAGGGGATGAAGATCCATCATAGGAGACTAAGAAGATCTGATTGCAATTGAAAGAATTCCAGAAGAGTGGAGTCATCCAAACAAAGAGATGAAAGTAATCAAGAAGCAAGAGGTACTCCGTTGGAGCCAGCCCTTCCAAGGAGGGTTCCAGTAAGGTCAGTATTGATTAGGACTCTGGTTCATGTGTTACTACTTTACTATTTACAGTTACAACTTTATTTTTCAGCAATTCAACTCTATAATTGCAAAGGGATGTATGATAATACTTATAGAGCTTATTTATAATAACCTTAAACTGGAAA